TTGGGACCCCCCACAGCGATCTTTGCTACCAAGGCTCTGAGGGAGAGGTGGCAAATGGGCATTGATCAGAAGCCTAGAGTGCAGAGCTGTCTGTCTGCCACACCAAGGCTGGGGGTGGCCAGGGGCTGGCAAAAGAAATCAGGTGTGTCTCTGCCCTCAAGGGGCCCATAGCTGGAATGAACTGAGAAGATGCTGTCAAACCAGCCCTCCTGACTTGCAGATCGAAACTGGGCTACATTTCCTTTAGAATTCTCCCAAGACAGATGACGCCAGGTTGTTTTTGCTTGAGTTGGAGGACATGGGCTTGGGTGGGAGTCTATAGACCTAGCTTCTGGTCTTGGCTCTGCAACTGTGGGTTGCCTGCTTTGTGTTAGTTCCTGGGATACAGGCCCATCCCATGTGTAGTGGGCACAAACCATGCGGGAGATAGACATTCACTCAGCAACCACATAAGTAAAAGCAGAATTCCAACTGGGATGCATTTTGTGAAGGAAAAGCAGATAGTGCTGGGAACGCATGTAACCTGGAGATCTGACTAGTTCTGAAGGTTGAGGACTGTGCCTCTAAGGAAGTGATGCCTAAATTAGGTCCCCACTAATAGTCAGGATGGGAAATGGTGTTCCTGGCAGAAGGAATAGCATGTGCAAAGATCCTGAGGTAGATGAGAATTTGGTATGGTAAAAAATCAGAAAGACGACCAGAGTGGCTAGAGTCAGAGGGTGACAAAGTGATGATAACACAAGAAGTTCTCCAGATAGTGATCCTTGAGGGTCCCTTGAAGCTTTTGAAAGGAAACCTTTGGGAGTTTTTAAGCAGGGGAGTGACATGATACAGTGTATGCTTTTTAAAACATCACCTTGGTGCCTGGGGATAGATTATAAAGAATCAAAAGTGGGATGGGATTATTCAACCATAAAAAGGATTGAAGTTTTGATACATTGTTACCACTTGGATGAACCTCAAAAACATTAGGTTTGGTGAAAGAAGCCAGACCCCGAAGTTCCCATATTGTATAATTCCATTTATATGAAATATCCAGCCAGGGACTGGAGGGAAGGGCATGGAGAGGAATTGCTTAGTGGGTACAGGGTTTTGTTTTGGGGTGATGAAATATTTTGGAACTAGATAGAGATGGTGTTTCACGACATCGTGAATGTACTTAATGCCACTGAATTGTTCACTTCAACGTGGTTAATACATATCATCTGAATTTTACCTCAGTGTAAATGAAAAGTAAAGAAAATAAAAAATTTTTTAAAAGTGAAAAAAAAAGAAAGTGGGATTGGGGGTCTGATTCAGGTACAGTGGCGGCGCCAGCTGAAATGAAGGAGGGAAGTGGGGACCAGAGCTTGAAGGCTGGAGATGGAGAGTGATGAACCAGCTGAAGAAGTAAGGGTTCTCGGGATCCTTTTAGTTCAGACATATTCTCTGCAAATTAGGCTTCAGGAAGTTGTTCTGAATTCAACCCTGGAATGAATAATCCTTTGCTGTACCCCGTAAAACAATGTGCATTTTCCCTAAGCAGAGATGATGGCTCCTGAGCTGGGTGTCTTCCTGCCATGGATGTGCAGCCTCAGCTGAGCCCAGCTCTGGGGCTACTCTCAGCACAGCCTGCCATGTCAGGGAACTCTGACTTGCCCACCTGTCCAGAGAGCAGCATGGTCCACCCGGGGCTCATATGGCCCCGAAGGATGGAGCTGCCCTCACCGATGCTTCGTGTCTCCTCATTTTGCTGCTTTCCCCAGAATTGGCCCTGATTCCAGGGAAGACATTTATGTGATAGATTTCTAATATCCTGCGATCATGGAGAGATGTTCTTTTTAATTACACCTGCAGGATATACTGCAAAATATGCACTGAATCTTACACAGTCACAGTCATTGGACACAGTCATTTGTGTCTGTTTCCTCCTTTGAGCATGCTGGGTAATGAGGGCAGATGGTCAAGGTGAATCCCACATTCTGTCCATGAAGCCTTCCTTGGTGGGCAAGAAGTGGTGTATGATTTTGTGCCACCTACTCTGATCAAATTGCCACTCATCCTCCACTTTCCTTTCTCCTACCCTCTTTTCCTCTTGTCTGTCTTTTTATTCTCCCATCCTCTTTTTTTTCTTACATCTACCTCTCCAACCATCCATCATCGTTCTATCCTTCAACCTTTTCACCCATCCATTCATCCATCCATCCATCCATCCGTCCGTCCATCCGTCCACCCATCCATCCGTCCACCCATCCGTCCATCTATCCATCCATCCATCCATCCGTCCATCCACCCGTCCGTCCGTCCGTCCATCCATCCGTCCGTCCGTCCGTCCACCCGTCCGTCCGTCCGTCCGTCCGTCCACCCGTCCGTCCATCCACCCACCCGTCCATCCATCCATCCATCCATCCATCCATCCACCCATCCATCTGTCCATCCGTCCATCCGTCCATCCACCCATCCTGCCATCCGTCCATCCGTCCATCCATCCATCCGTCCATCCATCCATCCATCAGTCCATCTATCCACCCATCCATCCATCTATCCATCCATCCGTCCATCCAGCCATCCA